AAAAGAAAATCTTAAAAAAAAGTTCAAATTATAACAGGTATATTAAAATCTTAAACTGTAGCATGGCTGGAATCTAAGTGATGAGAGAGTGGCAGGAAAAATAACTCCCTAAAAAAGGAGTCTGTTAACTGAAATACTAAAATGCCACTAATGCCACCAATTGACCAATGTTTTTAAATTCAGTGATAAAAATGCATATTTATAGAAACTATTCTCCAAAATTTATTGGTATACATAGACTATAAATGCCTTCCACTTATTTTGATAGTAAGAGGCCATCAAATTTAATAATTGGAAATATCTAGATGTGGTTAAAAATCGAACTGGATTAGTAGTGGGCTGCATAGAGATCATATCAAAATTTAGGCAAGTGGGGATTAGAAGAATTATGTAATTACAACACAATTATAAACAACCCCTTAAAGATAATGTACAACAGTCTATTACTATTATATTTGTACCAGTTTGAATTACTGATGGAGGGGAGTTTAAAACAATTTGGTATAATATATGAAGACACTTTTCACACTTGTTTCCATTACTATGATCATCACCACCCATTACTAGGATCCCCTGAACAGTAGTGAATGAGACCTAAAAGTCTTGGTCTGTGGTAAAGCCAGATTAATAACATTTAAAAACCTTTTTTATGCTGGTATCAAAAATATGAGAGGTATATAGTCTCGATAAGACATGCAATATACATCCAGTCTTTTCAACATCTGAAATATGTTGAATTAGTTCTTATGAACTAATTTCACAATTACTTTAGTTTTAAACTACATTCAAACATTTTAACAACTGCTATCTCTCTGGCCACACTTGCACTGAGCTGCTTGAAAGAAACATCTACAACACTTAAAACTACTATGCTTGCACACTCAGTTTTGAATCCTCCTTATTCTCGGTATTCATCATAAGAGATTGCACCTTAAGTAAGCTCCTCCACATAGAGCCTCTGTTACATTTTTTAAAAAATATGCTCCTTTATTTTTAAAACTTGAATGTTACCATTTTCAAGCTGACAAGGATTTATTATTTTTTTAAGACTAACAAACTTTGTGCAAAAACTAAGAAGTACCTGAAAGATATATGTAATGATTCTATTATGGTTAAACAAAAGTAAAAAAAGAAGAAAAAAAATCAAGATAAAATAGTATTGGTAGGTATCAAACAATATATTTAAATAAAAAGTATAGTTCCACTATTTTTCTGATCCCTAAATTCCAGGTAATTAAATACTAAGAACTTTGTAAAAAGGCACAATTCAGCAGATTTTATCAACAAAGGCAATTCATTTTGAAATCCATGAAGCAGCGGGCTTCATTATACAATTACAGATTATATTTTTAATTTCAGTTATCCGTCTGGCAAGTGTACACCAGTGCCTAGAAAGGAAAAAAAATTAGCAATACCTAAAATGACAGTCCACATCTCTACATTAAAATGTCTGTCAAACTGTTAAGTGTCACATGAAAATGTAAAGCTATGATTCCATCACATCATCAACTGAATTCTTGCTCGTCAACAGACCCAAAATGTGTCAAGAATGTTTCAGTTCCTTGTAACTGTTTCCTTAGAATGGTCAAAGTGATAATAACTACATACAAATCTCTCACCTTAAGAGAGACTGTATTAAAGCTGTTTTGCTAATTTGTCATTAAAAAAACAAAAACCATTAACAAGTCAGCTCCAAATCCTACACTGTTCTAAACTGCTATATAAAACGGTAACTATTTTATACCTTGCCTTTCATCTTCTAAGCCGAGGTATTAATAGCTAATAGTTTGTTATGCTCAAAGCAGAAGTATTCAAAATTAAAGATGGAAAGCAGAGTGTTTAACTATTTAATGGTATACTGAATTTTAGGTATTTTATCATATGTAGAATTTGACTGGTTAGCAGGCCATTTAAGCGTATAGGGAAATCAATGTTGGTTAGCCAAAGAATATGTGCATTGCAAATATACTCATAAACCCCAGGGAAATAAACTGTTACCTTAAAAAAGTACATATATATTTATCAAGAGCACTAGTTGGACATTTAAACAATATGGTGAAACACATAAAGGCTTAGAGGTAATTGGTTTTCCAACTAGTATTCTTAGCAATTTCTTTGGTTTTGCTATCAGTATGTATAACATGAAGGGGTGAGGAGGGCCTATGGCCTTTAATTCTTAATTGGCATTATACATGGTGTTAGAACAGGGTGAATCCAAGCCATATTCAGCATCAGGAACTTCGGATTCACTCTAAATTTGGATTCTGGGGTATGTTTATATTTACAAATGCTATTATCTTTGTCTACAAGCTAACCAACCAATAAGGAAGAGTTAGTCTGTGCAATGCAAATGGACTAGTCTAGATGCAACCCAGTCAAGGTGTGCATATACCTTTTTTGTTTCTTTTTTAACTTTTCTTCTTCATACCTTGGTAGGGAAGAGTTATTTCAGTAAATATACATGTTATGAAGATGAACAAAACTTGAAAAAAGGCACTGACAATAAACTCATATAAGTCTATAGGCAAAACCAAAAATACTTAACACACTATGTAGAAAGTCAAAACTGATCTAAGAAATCTGGCTCTGACACATTCAACAGACTAAACCTCAGATTAGTAGACCAAAAAACTTTTTCTACATTATAGCAGTGTGATACTCAAGGATTTATGTTAACAGCCTTCTACCAAATCCTTTTAAAAATTAGATGGAGGTGAATTTGGTAAACAGAACATATTCCAGCCACTGAATGAACCAAGGTTAGGCTGATATAAATAATATTGTATTTCTCCAGTAATAGGATTATTCAATGCCAGGATGAATTTACTCATATTTGGCAAGCAGCATATTCAAGTTTGGAGAATGTTCTTTAGTACTGACTGATGAGGAAATCACCACTTAAGATTGTAAACAGTCTTTAAAAATAAACAGTCTTAAAAATAAAAAGTCTTTAGGGCACCTGGGTGGCTCAGTTGGTTGGGCGACTGCCTTCGGCTCAGATCATGATCTTGGAGTCCTGGGATCGAGTCCCGCATCAGGCTCCCTGCTCAGCAGGGAGTCTGCTTCTCCCTCTGACCCTCCCCCATCTCATGTGTTCTCTCTCAATAAATAAATCTTTAAAAAAAATAAACAGTCTTTAAAAATAAAAATTAATCACAACCAGAAATAATCCTTGCTTCTTCAGCTGATAACCTGAAGAAAATGGTGACTTGTGGGGAAGGTGCTGGAAAATCGCTTCTTTCCCTTTTCCTTAGTCATAAAAACAAGAGCAGTTACAAAATATTTATCATATAGGAAGTGTAACAGAATGACTATTGAAAAATATTTACCTCTTGTACATCAATATATAAAGATCCAATATAATTAAAGAAATAAAACAAAACATACTGTTTTATGCATTCTGGTATGCCAACATATTCCATGGGGACAAGTTCCGCTAGTTCTGCCAAATTAAAGACGTATCTAATTTTTTGGCTGAATTTTGAGCTATGGAAGAAAATAAAGATAATTATCTCAATATTCTGACCAACAGAACTGACAAGAAATTCACATAAGGAGTTTGTTTTTGTTTTTTTTTTTTTTTTTTAAGTCAATGACTCTCAGAAAATTACCTAATAAAGGGTCTTGTGACAGCTAGAAGTGTTCTGATAAACCATGAGGGATGTACAATGATTAGTGATTTTAGGTTTTTCCGTAACCTGGAATAAAAAAAAAAAAAGAAAAAGAAAAAAAGAAAAATTTTTAAGCTCTATAAATTCTAATGCTAGAAGGAAAGGTAAGGCATCAATAAGTATGTACAACTTTATACACACACAAATCTGTCATCCAAAAGTTCATTTAGTTGTGATATTCCTAAAGACAAGAAAATACATTCTTGAATTCTGTTTCTCCTCCTGCTACAAGATGAACTTTACTTCATTTGGCTAAATTTATGTCCACAGTATAGCTTGTTGTTAAATGTCTCCTAAATACATTCACTTGTCTTTAGAATTCTGTCAACTGGGGTAGAGGTCAATACTGAATATGAAATTTCATTTTTCAGGACGAGAGGGGAACTGGTACTCATTTCTTCACCATGAAAGGCACTGTGCCGGCAGAAAGATGGGAGTCAAGTTCACCACAGGAACAGGAAATGTAAATCAGATCTAACACATTCTTATGGAGTCCAAAATTCTGAGTAAAAATTAACGGTATTACCCTGGACGACTTAAAATGGCCAAATAAAAACTGCTGTTTTATCATGCATATTCCACACTTAAGTGATCATTAAGGATTTTTTTTTTAAATCATAAAACTAGCCCATGCCATGTTTAGGTATTTAGAGAAACCTATTAATGAGTCTGAGTTCATTAAACTAGTTCGATGTGGCTACAGTCTAATCAAACCAATTGGAGATTTAAAGTTCCTTCCATTAGCATGGATGACTAACTCCCAGGAGAATACACTCCCTAGAGCTCATTCCAAAATAAGATTATAGCTAAGCATCTTAAAAACCATAAAATATGCTAAGCACTATGAGCTAGCAAAATTCAGAATGTATTAAAATAGGAAATGTACTAAATTCTCCATCCTTTCCCAAAATGTAAATTATAGGAAACTGTTCAATGTGGTATAAATAAGGAGATAAAGAACTATTTTATAGGTTTTAAGGAATTATTCTTTATAAAACAGATCAAAACTAATTTCTTTCATGATATTCTAAAATACTGAATTGAGAAAATAGAAACATGTTATGAAATTAACAAATATAATTTATGGTGTCCTTAAGTGACAACAGGAAATAAAATTGAACAAAGCTATTATAAAAATTATTCAGACTAGCTTTCAATGTGTATTTACAATACCTTCTATCAATTTGCTGGTAGCATTTCCTGAGCCATCCCAGACTGGGCATTTTTCTTCGAGTTGTAGCACCATTTAAATAAACTATCATGTAGTTTTCTGCTACTAACAGCTCCAAAGTGCCAATAACATACCTGTAAAAACAAATTAAGTTTAAGCCTTAAATACTGCTTTGTAGAACCAAACAAAATTATGCAAATGATATAATGCCGTTCTCTTCCATTCAATGACAGCAAAACCAATTAAAATTTCAAAACTGCATTAGTTGGTATTATGATTGTGTATCAGAAAGAGTTATCTTCTAGAAATACACATTTAAAAGTCTGCAGATGAACTGACATGATTTCTGGGACTTGCTTCAAAGTTATACAATGGGAAGAGCATACATTTTGGGAATGAAGTAGAAACTAATTGTGGGAGCAGGGGATTCATACACAAAGATTCAATACACTTCTCTCTACCTTTATATAAGTTTGAAATTTTCCATAATAAGTTTTTTTAAAACACCACTAACTTAAGAAACAGAATGACTCTGTGGAAATAGAACTGAGTCAGTTCAGTTATATTTGGCTTTTTGGGAGTAAATGCAGTTTAGCCATATGATTTTGAGATAGAAGAATTTCTTTACATTTAATGTAAAATAAAGAAGTTGGAACAGATAATCTGAAATAGCCCTTCCAGTTTTAAACTGACAATTTTCCTGTTGAGTTAGAAAATGAAGAGTTTTATAATGCCAAAGAATAAGGACTTAAAGGACTGGAATGGAGATAATTATAATCTTCTCCCAGGTAAAGTTCATGTCTTAAATTGGAGATCTAATTAACTCAGAATTCTGTCCAAATTTTTTTATGAAGGTATACTTACTTAAAGAGATTGTCCATCAGGTATCTATAGTTAGGTTGACCACTTTCAGGCATAAAACAGACAGCAAACACAACAATGGCATTTAATCCATCCCCATAATATCCTGAAAAAGAAATCAAAGATAAAATCACCAGCATGATTTTACTTTTTCAGGGGAAATCTGTATGTACAGTTGATAGATTGTATAGTGGTTCATGTTCCCCCACAATTTTTTTGATCAAAAAACATGGTTTCTTTTTTAACCTTATATAGCCTTATAAAGATCTTAAAATCCCCTCTTCTCAAAATGAGAATAAAATCTGAAGAGGAAACAGTGGGCATAAAAACCAGAAACCCATTTAAAGTGGCATAATCAGAAAGCCAGTCCTACTTTAGTAAACAGACAAATGAAATGATATAATCCAAGCAGGCATAATATGAAAACATCTGCAATAAAACAATCTTATGCAAGTTATGGTTAAAGTGGGTGCTTTTTAAAAAATACTTTTACACTCAGCAATGCCTAGCATTTTGTAGATTTAGAGTATTAAAAACTACATCTCTGACAATTTTAACTGAAGAAAAAGTGTTAAAATGTGTATGTTTATTATAATCTCTAGATATTAAGCTGTATCCAGTAACACTGGTTTAACTTTCATTTTTGTTGTTTACAAACATACACTGAAAAGGTTTAAACAGTTCAAGTACATTAGCATCTTCAATACCTTTCTCAATCTCTTAGTCACAAAACACACTATGATAATTCAATAGGATAAAATGGTCCTAATTATTTCCCCCTAATCCAAATAAAGCACTCTTTCTGAAAGATACTTTAAGATAGTCTGAACCATGAGGCTGGTCTCACAACTTGTTTCCTATAAACTGGCTGAATTAATGCAAGTCTGTGGACTTCCTGATCCAGATTATCCTGTTTTCTTCATCTGAATAGGATTAAATTAGGCAGAATAATGTAACTGCAAATATTCAGGTGATCTGGTTTCAGATGAATGAAGACTATAGAAATACAGAGGGAAATGGATTTGGCAGAAAGTAAATTAAGTAGAAAGGACTCTACATAAAAAAACCCAATCTGTTTAACCTACCCCTTTCCTGCATTAGGATTTCAGGTAATAAGAAATGTTCTAGAGAGTGACTTGCATTTTGACTACCATTAACATTCTAACACTATTTATGGTGTCTACGTAAACTTCTATACATGGCACAGTCAGATGGATAGAAGTTATAATCATACTCCCATAGCTTTTCCTATTTGACTTGCGATTTCTTAAGAAATGAAGCCTTTTGGGGCACCTGGGTGGCTCAGTCGGTTAAGCGACTGCCTTCAGCTCAGGTCATGATCCCAGGGTCCTGGGATCGAGTCCCACATCGGGCTCCCGGCTCAGCGGGGAGCCTGCTTCTCCCTCTGACCCTCCTCCCTCACATGCTCTCTGTCTCTCATTCTCTCTGTCTCAAATAAATAAATAAAATCTTTAAAAAAAAAAAAAAAAAGAAATGAAGCCTTTTATTTTTGGATATTCCACAAATATGCAAAGATGGTGCTCCATAAAAACGTGGAATGAACTAGTACTGTACTTTATGGTAAAACTAAATTATTTTTTCAGGGTTTTAAGGTAAATTAAAAGTCACAGTTTAAAATGCCAAGTTTTACTTATATCCACAAAGACTAGTACAAGAATGTTCACAGCAGTTTTAATCATAATGGCCCAAACTGGAAACAACTCACCTGTTCATCAAAAGAAAAATGAATAAGCCAATTGTAGTTTATCCATGCAGTGAAATACTACTTAGCAATGAAAAGGAATGAACGACAGACATGTGCAACAGGGATGAATGTCAAAAACATGCTGAGCAAAAGAAGTCAACAAAAGAAGGTACACTATATGATTCCAGTTACATGGAATTCTAGAACAGGCAAAAGTAATCATGGGAGTAGACATGAGAATAGTGGTTACTGGAGAGGGGGGTATTCATTGAGAAGGAGTTTGAGAGAATTTTCTGGGGCAATGAAAATGTTCTGTATGTCTAGGTGTAGGTGATATGGGTATATATGGTAATATGGGCATTTGTCAAAACTCACTGAATACTACATTTCAGATTAGAGCGCTTCCAAGTGAAAAAGTGAGAAGAAAAACAAATATTGTATGATATCACTTATATGTGGAATCTAAAAATGCCAAACTTAGAAATATAGACTAAAATGGTGTTTGCCAGGGGCTAGGGGGAAAGAGGAGATGTTGGTCAAAGGGTACAAACTTCCAGTTATACGATGAATAAGTTCTAGGGGTCTAATGTACAGCATAGTGACTAGTTAGTAATACTGTATTATGTACTCAGAAGTTGCTAAGAGAGTAGATCCTAAATGTTCACACCACAAAAAAGAAATGGTAATCATTATGTAATATGTATTGCATTAGATCAACACGTTTTACACCTTAAACTTACACAATATGTCAATTATATCTCATGAAGCTGGGGAAAAAATTGCAAGTACTACAAAAAAGGATTATAGCATTTCACTATATATAAATTATAAATGGATAAAAAGGGGAGAAAGTCTCAGTTTTGGGGGGAGGTGTCTGGAGTCAGGGTGGAAAACAGTTTCCACTGTATACTCTTGTACCTTTTGAATATACTGTGTGCATGTACTAACGATTTTTATATTTGGTTTTATCCTTTTACTTCAAAACTGTTGTTTCTAAAATGACATAAATGTTCATTATATCTATTTTTTTACTCAAGATAGAGTAAAAAAGATATGAACAATCTCTGATCGCTCTTACCTCCATGGCTGATAACTTTTTTATAGGGTTCAATTGCCTTCATATCGACCCTGTGGTCCTGTTCTCCAATTCTGAACATACGCCAGCGTCGTCCATCTTCTTTTTCCTCTGCTGCTGTGTATTCAGTAATTGAGCCTTTTCTAATAATTTCAGTAGTTTTGGGTTTTGGAAGATCATCTGTCAAAATAAAAGGTTTTTGAATCACAAATTGTTATTTATACAATAAAAATCAAATTACATGTTAACCACTTTACTATCTAATTAGATTGTTCAGGGATTTTTTCATTATATCTTCTGTGGAATTTTAAGTATTTCTTCTGTAACAGAGGAAAAGGCTTGTTATTGATACGAGGCCATTTTATGTTTTTGGAAATCATGGTTAACTTTTTTTGTATGGGCTAATTCACAAAGCACCTATCACAGTGCAATGTATGTTCATGAGTTCAAAAAAGATAATTCATACAGCCATCAAAATCTTAGTACATTGGCCTTACAATGCCGTTCAGATTTTATTTACAACACTGTTCTTGGTAGTTACCACTATAGGTTATTTAAAGTAACTGAGAACAAATTGTTTTATTGAGCATATAAATTATTCCCCAAACACTGTAATACCAGATAGAAAGTGGTTAACCAGCCAATGATTATTTCTCATTTGATCAGTTTTATTGAGCAGAAATTTACTAATAACATTCTGACATGTACATGCAAAAGTCTATTTTAAATTGACATTAGCCAAAGCAGAAGCACCAATGATTAGGTGTAATTTATATTTCAAGATTGCATTTTAGAGGATTTTAAATGAAGTAATGATTTTCAAAATTTTAGTATCAGAGTCCTTACCAAAAGATGGGGGGGGAGGGGGACCTACGGCATGTTAGTTGTTTGTTTCCAAGATAAAGCTGTTAACGGAAAATATCCTTCCAGGAAATGACTACAGCAGCATTAAAGAAAGAAGAGACAAAACACATAGGCAGAAAACTATTTCAGTATCTTTTTAAAATATTGCTTATTACTGGACTGCTTATTGAACCAGTAAAACAGGGAAGAAAAAAGGAACAAAGATATAGCATATCAAAGATCTTACTCTTTACTGCTGATAAAACACAGAGTGTTAAACACTGCTTTGAAGTAAAAATCATTTTAAAGATGGAATATATAAACAACTATATAAAGATACTGTACATAGAAATTATCTCATTAAAGAAAACATGCAAAGCAAAACACATGCCAATCCTTTGACTTCTAAGTAACTTAATAATAAGGAATATGAAGTTTGGGGACTAAGAGTATACATTAATTCAAGTTGGTTGTTTACATAGTGCAGCACTATCAGGCAAACCAAATGAAAAAATCACCCTCAAAAAACTCCCTTCAAAGCTCCCTCTCTGTAAACCCTTAACTACTTTTAGCATATTCCCTATGTTACATGTCTCGTCAAAGCTCTTTTCCTTAGCTGACTGACTGAAGAAAAGAACATGCTATACTTATCAAGCAGTATTTTGGAAGCAACATGAAAAAACATAATTTCATAATCCTGAGCAATTAAGAAAGAAAATAAAGCCACTTGTGTAATCTACTAAAAACCGTTTTTGAAAGCCATGAGAATATTGTGTTAGCAGAATTTCCTCTTAGTAACAAAATATAGTAGGAACTTTAGAAAGAATAACTTCATATTTCAACAAAATCCCTTAATTATTGATTTTAAGTTCAAGATCAAGTTTTAAGTTTTTCAATTATCCTAATAGGAGACTCCTATTCAAAAAACACATATGTATATAGAGACAAACATTAATAAAGGTCAGATAAAAACAATGAAGCATTTACCTTCCCACTCAAATTCATTACTGTTCTCTGATGGTGTGTCTAAGCCATCTAAGTCAATCTCCCCACTTTCATCCAAATCATCTGACAGCACAGAGCCATCACTAGGATCCAGGGTCAGGCTAATGTCTGGAGCCATGAGTTTCTTTCTTACTTTATTTCCATTAACTTCTAGTGAGCATGGAATGGGTTTAAAAAAAAAAAAAGTGAAAAACAGATTAGAAGGAATGTTTACATGCTCAAATTGAAAAAGAGAAAAAAAATTTTTTTAATATTTATTTGTTTTTTAGGGTGCCTGGATGGCTTGGTCGGTTAAGCATCTGTCTTCGACTCAGGTCATGATCTCAGGGTCCTGGGATCAAGCCCTGCATCAGGCTCCCTGCTCAGTGGGGAGTCTGCTTCTCCCTCTCCCTCTGCCCCTCCCCCCTGCTCATTTGCTCTCTCTCCCTCTTTCACGATCTTGGCCTCTCTCAAGTAAATAAATAAAATCTTTAAAAATATATTTATTTTTTTAGAGAGTGAGAGTATGAGCATGTGAACGGGGGGAGGGGTAGAGTGAAAGGGAGAATCTTAGGCAGGCTCCCCGCCTAGCGCTGAGCCCAACGTGGGGCTCGAGCTCATGACCTTGAGATCATGACCTGGGTCGAAATTAAGAGCCCAAATGCTTAACTGACTGAGCCATCAAGGTGCCCCAAAAAGAGAAAAATTCTAACCACTTCATTCTTGAGAAAAATAACATTAATCAAACACAATCCCAAAGCATTAATTTATAAACCTTGGATTTTGATCATTATTGCTTCTACATCATGACAAGACAACACATGCCAGCAAGGATAAGTCTTTTTTTTTTTTTTTTTTTTAAAGACTTATTTATTTGACAGAGAGATTGACAGTGAGAGAGGGAACACGAGCAGGGGGAGTGGGAGAGGGAGAAGCAGGCTTCCGGCTGAGCGGGGAGCCCGATGCAGGGCTTGATCCCAGGACCCCGGGATCATGACCTGAGCCGAAGGCAGACGCTTAATGACTGAGCCACCCAGGCGCCCCAAGGAGAAGTCTTTTTAAGTAACAGAGGCAAACATTATAGTCAGTTCTTACAATTAAAAATGACCTCCTCTCAACCTTTTATTGTAGAAATTTCCACAACCCAAGGGTATGTTTTTACAAAGTTAAATTTCCAAAGCACTCAAAAAATGCTTTCTTAAACATTCAACTTATCCTTTGGCTCTGTATAATAGAACAAAAAATGAGAATACTTTTTTCCCTTGACAAAGAAATGTGTTAAAAAATAGCACAAAGTCTACCATTTCGTTGAAACCAAAGTGCCAAGTTCTTACCAGGCTGGCTCTCCGGTCCAGTTACAGCTAGTATATCTGCTTCCATACTATCATCCTCTGGTAAAGGTCTAGAAGATACAGACATAATTTTTAATTCACAAATTAAAAAAATTTTTTTTTGAAGTTCAAAGAGCTATTTAAAATATCTTATAGAATCAATTACGTGGAAAACTGAATAAAGCAGTTTCTTAAGCTTCAATAATTTACAAACGACTTTTAAAGACAAAATTTTCAGACTGTCAGAAATGATTTGTATATCTATATAAATAACACATAAAAGTAGATATAAATTCCTTATGTAACTACTCTTAAATACAACTACAAAACAAACCTAAAAATTATAAACAACCTAAAAAACATGTAACTCAAATGCACGAGCTTAACATGAAATACAATACAATGTGTGGCGAAGGTAAACTGTCCCTCACATGCCAGTATGGTCATGATGGCTACAATTCTTTTGAGCTGAGCATTTCTATATCACTACTATTATCACCATGTGCTATGCAGTGACTTAGTACTCCCACAAGCTGTCCATATTCCCACTGTTAAGGGACCTTCCTATGCACTGGGATGGTCTTCTGACCAAGATGGTATGGAAGCACCATTTAAATATAAGGTCTGCCTTTGCCCTTTTTCTCTTAACCCAGCTGCTGCCAATACAACCGTAAATACAAATGCAAACGTGTCAAAGTAGCTGGCCAGATGATCTAAAAAACCCTTATCTAATAAGTTTTTTTCTTAAAATAGAAGCACAAAATTTAACAACTCTTAAAGACATCTAAAGACTCCTTTCTCCCAGGAACCCCTCAGATTCCAGTTTAAGAAATACCATATTTAAGCATTTTTTGCTTAAATTTCAACGTTTTGAAATTTAAATGTTGAAAACAAAAATAGAAGATTATAGAAGATCACATATATATTTACTGGAAAATAAGATATAAGAGAATTCATCTCACTGTTGGAAAGGAACTTTCATTTTCTAGTATCAAATCAACACCTTTGACATTGGGTTTCTTTTTTTTTTTTTTTTTTAAAGATTTTATTTATTTGACAGAGAGAGACACAGCGAGAGAGGGAACACAAGCAGGGGGAGTGGGAGAGGGAGAAGCAGGCTCTCTGTGGAGCAGGGAGTCCGATGCGGGGCTCGATCCCAGAACCCTGGGATCATGACCTGAGCTGAAGGCAGACGCTTAACGACTGAGCCACCCAGGCGCCCCTGACATTGAGTTTCTATAAGAAGCTCAATATTCATTTAATAAGTGACATCTCAATAAAGACATTTTGAAGTTTTATTTTAAATTTGTTTTCATTTGAAAGTATTGCTCACATTGGAAAATCTTCATCTTGCCATTCTTCTTTAAGTTCCACACCTTCCATCCTCAGCTTAGATTCAATATCAGCCACAAACTCCTGATAATCCAGAGAGCCAATGTCCTGTGAAAAGAGAAAAATTTATAACAACATATTTTCCATGTTACTTTTTATCTGCTAAAAAGTTGCAATAATCTTATACCTTAGTTCACACTTCCACCCTGGCCATGAAATCAATTTATTGGGCTGCAACTACCATTAAACAAACAAACAAACAAAAAAGAAATAGAATGAAAATCAGAGTCTATATATTCTAGTAATGTGAGTACTATTTGCAGTAAGGGTATTGGGCAGTGAAAATATTTGTTTTCAGTTACATATATGCATGTGTGTCCCAGGTTGTGATTTAAGTTTTATTAAGTTTTGTGAATTATGTAAAAACAATCTGGGGGGGAGGCACAAGGAATAAAAGTAAATATATTCTCTACTCTAGATCCATAATTAATTTTCTGTCCTCCGGATAGAGGTTGATCCTAGAAATTGAACACTAGTAAATTGCATTTACATTCATGATTCAGTAAAGTGTGCTGTATCTTTTTAAAACTGATGTATAATTAACATTTAAAAAATATTTTATTTATTTGACAGAGAGAGAGAGAGAGAGCGTGCGCACAAGCACAAGGAGGGGAAAGGCAGAGGGAGAGGGAGAAGCAGGCTCCCCAGTGAGCAGGGAGCCTGACATGGGGCTTGATCCCAGGACTCTGGGATCAGGACCTGAGCTGAAAGCAGATGCTTAACTGACTGAGCCACCCAGGCACCCCTATAATTAACATTTTTAAATTGAAGTATAATTAATATGTGTGCTGTTTTCTATACTTCCATCTCTTTAGTTTCAATGCCATCACTCCAGAGCCATTTAAAGAAGGCTACTTAGTAACTATCCAGTAAATGAATGCTACATTTTGATTTGCTTCATATCTACACTAAACTTTTCTCATGCAGTTCAGCATAAGTTTTCAGACACTGAACTTAGTGACTATTTCTTTTTTATTTATTTTTTAAAAGATTTTATTTATTTATTTGACAGAGAGATAGAGAGCACAAGCAGGGGGAGCGGCAGGCAGAGGGAGAAGCAGGCTCCCCACTGAGCAGGGAGCCCGATGTGGGGCTCGATCCCAGGACTCTGGGATCACGACCCGAGCTGAAGGCAGCCACTTAGCTGACTGAGCCACCCAGGCACCCCGTGAATATTTCTATTCATGCAATTACATATGCTAACCTAGGCCATTCAGTTTTAGTTTTAGTCTGTCCAAGGAAGGGTGTGGGTGCCTACATCCTCACTTTACAAGGTGAAGAACGCTGAGATTGGTTTGGTTGGTGGAATAAGAACTGGAGGGTTAAGTATATTATTTAAGAAGTCATAAAGATCAACTGGTTAATGAGCACAACAAAAACTGTGACAGCTTTAGGGCACAAGAGGTATAGATGAGCTAATATTTAGTTCAATTGCATTAGAGCAAGTCAATAGATGACTTTCTTTTTTTTAAAGCAGTAAAACATGTATTTCTTAAGAGACAGAAAGTATCACTACAAGTATTAAAAACAAAGAAAAAGTGGTTGGTCCCAGTGGAAGAAGAAAGAGGGTGAGATGGGGAGAATGACTGATGCTTTTCATAGTAAATCCTAAACTATTTGACTTTTAAAACCATGTATATATAACTTTAAAAAATACTTATCAAATAAAACAAATAGTGCCAGCCATTCACTTCAATTAGTCTTGTAAAACAAAGACATGATGCCTCCACACACTGGAGTATTACTCAGCCATAAAAAAGAATGAAATCTTGCCTTTTGCAACAACATAGATGGATCTCGAGGATATAATGACAAATACCATACGATTTCACGCATATGTGGGATTTAAGAAACAAAACAAATGAACAAAATAAAAAGAGATAAAAAACAGACTCAAATATATAGAACAAACTGGTGGGGGCATGGGTGGGAAATGAGTAGAAGAGGTGAAGAGGATTAAGAGTACACTTATCATGAGCACTGAGTAACATAGAGAATTGCTGAATCATTATACTGTACACCTGAAACTCATATAACATTGTTAATTACATTGGAATAAAAATAAAAATTAAAAAATTAAAAAATAAATAAAACAAAGATGTGGTCATGGTTTATGGTTGCTTTATCTGCTGTCATTACAACACTATAAAGATGTACAAAGCTGTACAGAAAAAGCATTATGTTCCAGAACAACAACAAAATTACACTGGCAATTTTCTGAAGTGTTAGATTTCACATGGTAAACTAAATTTATATCTCTGCCAAGACTGGGAGGCTCTCTTCTCAGTTTGAATTCTTACTTATGCTCAAGGAAAGGGTTCACACATTCTCAAAAGGTTTAAATATTCGAGGACCCACTTTCAAGCACAGGAAAAATAGCAAATGCTCTTTTCCTCACCAACATATTTGCTCGGAAAACTCAGTATTTATATACGTAAGTCATTTTTAATTCTCTGGGAAAACACTGAGCCAGGCAATGTTGAGAAAGTAATGGAAAACACACCTAAACTACAGTAATCTTGACTTATTTACCACATTCTCTGTTTCTAATACATAGTCTACACCTTAACACAGGTCTTCACTGATCACATCATAGATTGTTCTCTGATGGCAACTCTTCCTCTCTGTAGAGAAGAAAATAAACAAAAAAGGGATACCTATCTTGCCAATCTTTTCTATTTAGAACACAGAACTAGTATAAAAGACCCCCAAATTATGGCCAATAAGCCCAAATACTTAATGCTTATTACCTTAGAAATCAATGCCCAAGTGAGACTGAAACAGTCTATTACTAAAGGTTTAAAACTGTCTCTTCCAAATTTTTAATTCACTGTACTTCTCAATTTTTTTCTGGTCTTATAATCACTCTAAAGTGAACTAATATACTTCCTAAATTCAATAATCAGAAAAAGTTTCTGTTATTTTGTCTTACCTTTTTGTAGGTGTTGGAAAAATACCAGGATCTTCTTGTTGTCTTTTTCAAATATCCCACATACTCAGAAAAATATTTAATATCTCAAAAATAAAAGCAGAGACTGAAAGTTGCTATCACTATATTCTCAACATAAGCCTGTGAATGTCAGTTATATGAATATTGTAAGGTAGGACACTGGATAGCAAGCCTTTATTTTGCTCTACCCCTTAGGCTTATTTTTCTTATTCAACTACATTATTTAACAGGCTTCCTGTTGTTTTACCCTCAAAAAGTGTAATGAAAATATTTAGGGCAACCCACATACATGCAATTAACAATTTCTGTTGGTAAAATGATTCCTTATTTGTAAGTGAAAATATGTAACTTGAGAAATTCTATAAGACAAACCATGTCCTTTAGTTCCCCTACCACTTGAACAAGGCTATTACTTGAAAATAACTCCTCTAAACATAGAGAGCCTGAGTCCTTCAGGTCTCTCTGCTGATTCACTCAATTTTTACTTCAGTCATATTGAAGCATGTGATTTTAAAACACACAGCACATGGACATGGATATCTAGTTTGGGGATAATTATTTAAGCTAGTTAAACAGAACCTAGAGATACAGATAGATTCACTCTTGACCATTTCATCACAGACTGTAGGGAGAAAAGTACACTAGGTAGACAAAAAGTTCAAACAATCGAGAGTATTGTTCTTGGAAGCACTTAATCATCAGCAGCTGTAAGAACAGGAAACAAACAAGAAAGGAGCAATATAAGCACAACCACTTTGAAGGAAATCAGGACACTGCTGACTCACAAGTTAACTGTGGCTGTTTCCCATTTTTTGTTCATAAATTTGGTAAATTAGAATGGGGAAATAACACTTTAAGATGCCATTTGTTAAAATAACCTAATGCAACAGCAATAACTTGATTTCCCAACATACTTGTGGTACTGGGGGCATATGATTACTTATGCCGATTAACCACTAGAAGTCATTTAGATAAATTCAGAACACCTGCTGACCTCAGTGAGGTTAAAAATCAAGGAGAATGGATTACCTCCTGACACAACTTCTGAAGGGAGATGTGGTGGTAAATTCAACCAAGATGAAGAAGGGGATTTCCCTATGCAACTCAGCAATATAGCAAAAATTAAATCTTAAAATCTTATTTACGACTGTCTGATTTATAAATTACAATCTCACGTGCAACTTTACTATTACGTAGTTTAATGGTCCTGCTGGAATAGGTGCTAGTAACTACCATCTATGCTGAAATCACTTCTTATTGGCAGAAGAAAATGTCCAGGCAAGTCTTTCACTTCTTCATTTAAACAAAAGGGCTTCATTCTAGATATTTATGTTCACTTTTCCCTATGCGGCTGGAAACCCTTTTGGCGCTATAGGAAAATACGTTAGGCCAGCCTATATGTTTACAATGACCACCAAAACGCCTCCAGAAAAATCTTCTACACTTGTCACTGCTTCCTTGAGAGCAGGGTCATGCAGGTTTTTAAGAATGAAATGACACCATGAGAGGTCACCTTACACCTGTTAGAATGGCCATTCTTGAATAGACAAGAAAGAGCAAGTGTTGTCAAGGGTGTGGAGAAAAAGGAGCCCCTGTGCACTGTTGACAGGAATGTAAATTGGTGCAGCCGCTATGGAAAACAGTATGGAGGTTCCTCAAAAAATTAAAAATAGAAATACCATTTGATCCAGCAATACCACTTCTGGGTATTTATCTGAATCTCTGGGTATTTATCACTATCTCAAAAAGATACATGCAGCCCCATATTCACTGCAGCATTATTTGCAATAGCCAACATATGGAGGCAACCTGTTTCCATTGATAAATGAATGGATAAAGAAATTGTGGTATATATACACAATGGAATATTATTCAGCCATAAAAAGAATGAAATCTTGCCAGTTGGGACAACATGGATAGACCTTGAGGGCATTACGCTATGTAAAGTAAGTGAGACAGAGAAAGATAAATACTATATGGTCTCACTTATATATGGAATCTTAAAACACACACACACACACACACACACCCCCCAAGGTCAAAGATACAGAGAACAGACTGGTGGTTGCCAGAGGGGAGGGAGGTTGGAGGAATGGGCAAAGGGGGTCAAAAGGTACAAACCTCCAGTTATAAAATAAATCCTAAGGATGTAATGTACAGCAGGGTGATTATAGTTAATACCGTATTACATATCTGAAAGGTGCTAAGGAAATTATTCTTAAAAGTTTTCATCACAAAAATATTTTAACAATGTGTGGCAATGAATGTTAAATACACTCATTGTGGTGATCATTTCCCAATATATAAAAATATCGAATCATTGTATGTACACCTGAAACCAATGTTATATGCCAATTGAACCTCAATTTAAAAAAAGAACAAAATGAGATCCTCTATCTGAAACATTAACACAAAATTCAAGAAAAATTACAATGCTGCTGACTTCTCAAAATTGTGAAAATAAAGCAAAGGATAATTATGCCACCTACAAACAGTACTTTTATGATCAGTATGCAGAACATACTGGAGACGCTCTAAGCCCTTTACAAAGATTAAAGTCTAATATTGATCTCTGACACTTTATTGTAGTTATACATATTTGCTGTAATATAAAATTATAATTGTGGAATATTATTATCATCATATTATACTGGTATTCCGCTTTATACCATCAAAGCTTAACAAGACAACTTTCGATCCACTGTCAGCCAAGGTTAATTTTTCGGAACTGGTTATATATACTTCCTTTTTTAGATGCTGTCCTCCATCGCTGCTCCTACAAACATTGCTCCAGAGGCAATGAAGAGAACCACCTTCCTTTTCACATTTACTAACCACTTGCACATTCATCATCCCCACATGTTCCAATCAACAACTTCTGTGAGGTATAAAACATTGGTGTTATTATCCCCATTTTATCTTACATATGAGGCAAATGACACTACATCTTGGTTCCCAGGTTAAATGTAGACTGTTTCTAATACAGCACACTGTCTCCAGTTCATGGCAACTTTATACAGAGTAAGCCTGTAATGCCAGATTTGGTTACATTTATCTTCAAAGGTCCTCTAATACTTAAAGACTACAACAGCACTAACTTATGATGATCTAGTTCAAGATCCATGTTTGCAGAAGAGGATCTGTCATACTTCCTGTATAAGCCCAACAATGTTAGGCTGCAACAGAGGAGATTATGAAGAACAAGAATAGTTTAGAAGAAATGTAAAATGACAAGAACTCAGTAAAAGATGTGCGAATTCATCAAGAAAATAGTATACAAGGTAACTAAATTGGGTAACTTCAGTTATAAACGTTAGACATTTACAAGTTGCAGAAATTCTTATAAAATTTTAGAAAAAGAATATGTTTCGGGGCGCCTGGGTGGCTCAGTCGTAAAGCGTCTGCCTTCGGCTCAGGTCATGATCCCGGGGTCCTGGGATCGAGCCCCACGTCGGGCTCCCTGCTCAATGGGAAGCCTGCTTCTCCCTCTCCCACTCCCCCTGCTTGTGTTCCCTCTCTCGCTTTGTCTCTGTCAAAATAAATAATTAAAAATCTTTAAAAAAAAAGGTTTCATTGAAAAAGTTAAGAAACTAGGCATTAAGAGAAATACAGATCTCTAATCAAAAAAGGTGAGGATGAAAAAAAGCAACTCTAAAATGCAATCACACACTTCATTCAACTAACTATAAGGAAGGCACTATGACTACCAGGATGAACAGGACAAAAGCTGTGCTCTCAAAGGGCTCCCGCAACAGGCAGACAGGGGAAGTTTCAAAGCAACGTAATAGACGCGAATAAATTTAACAGGAGTTGATCTAGCAGAACCACAGCTGCATCAGATATACAGAAGAAACCCAAACCATTAAGTAAAAGGTAATGTCTGAATCCACGCAGGAACTCGGCTTTTACAGGAGGAAGGTCTACTAAAGCCCTCATTACATATGCGCTTCCGTGTCTATTCCCCGAGGGTACAGGGCACATCAGACGTCCGAGTTTCTTTGTTCAGCACCAGGACTGACACTGATCTTAAATACGCGACCAAAGTGGCCCGGGACCAGAGTGTGTGCAGCGGGGCCGAGAGGGGGGCAAGTTCCATCCCGAGCACGACAGCACGAACGGAAAAGGGGTGGCCGGGGGCAAACAGGAGCCGAGCCAAGGGCGGGGGCCTAAGCTGGGCGGGGATCCGGGAAGCGCCTCCCGGGCAGGTTCCCTGGCGCCCCCTACATCGAATAACCCCCTGGGCTTCCTCTCTCGGGCTGTCCGGGGGGCACGCACCCCTCCGACGTCCGCCCCAGGCCTGCTCTCAGCCCAGATCCGCCGTAGCCCAGCCTTCCCCGGCCGCACTCACCCCGGAGGAAGCCCTGGCTCCCTCGTCTTCTTCGCCCCTCCAGGCCGGCGACGTGGGGCTGACGGCCAGGGCGCAGGAAGTAGGGCCGAGAGGAGCCCGCTCCCCTCGGACCGCAGTGGAGACCGGGGCCCAGTCCCCAAGCTATAGCTGCAGCGGCAGCAGCTGACCCGGATGCAGAGAGCGACCCCGGCGGAAGTGACTATATCCCGACCTTCTTCAGGCGCGACCGCCGGTAGAGACAGAGGCATGACGTCTTCTCGGAGCCGCCTCCTCCCTGCCCCGCCCCCTCGGCTGTCGCGGACTCACGTGTGCGCATGCGCCTGGCGGCAGCCCTGCACACTCAAACCGGACTAGTGACACTTCCTCTTCTTACACAGGTACTCGGCCCTTGAGTCTCAAAGAGATATTTTTACATTCTTTATGTTGGCTTTAGTGATCATTACAACAATTTCATAGCATAAGATGGGTGAAAATAGGGGAGGAAAAATACCCGAGGCCTCATTTTGGGAAACTAACCCTCGGAAGAAGCCTTAGAGTTTGGTAAAATTCTCGAGGGTGAACACAACGGTGCTGCCCAGACTATATGTAGGGAGGATCAGATTAGTTTTTTGAATTAACAGTTAGTTGTGGACCATGCTCTGGTAAGATAAGATAAAATATTAGACACATTTTATCATTAGAGTCAACAGCCATAAAATACCTGTAAAATTACCGTAAAGTTTTCCAAACGCCTACTCTCAATTTCTGTTCCTGCCTGGCCATTGACTGGTAACAGAAGGGCCCAGCTCCGTGGATCATACTTGGAGTAGCAACGCTGCTCCACAGCTTCAAGGAACTAAGATTAGTTTGGAGAATATAATAATCCCTCTCGGAATTCTTATCCACTAATCCCGACAAAGGCAGCAGTCAACTTTTGGGGCAATGCATTTTGAGAATGGGGGGAGGGTGCTTGAGGGGAACTGAAAAGCTCAACAAAATTTAAATCATTGACCCGAAATGCAGCTCCCAGTTAACACTGTTTTGGCAACACTGACTGCTGTTGGCAGGGGGTTCAACTCTCTGTTGTCTCATCTATAAAAACAGGGAAAAATAATATCTACTTCGTGGGGTTTTTGTGAGATAAAGTGCTATTAGAACCGTGCTTGACATATTGTAATCTAGTATGTTTGATACTATTTTCCTCCTATTCTGGCAGTTTTGTTAAATAGCTGGCAGAGAAAACAAAACGGATCAACTGATAAACAGAGCTTTAGCTAAACAACTTCTTGGATCATGCTTATGTAAGCGATTTCATCTTCAGTTACAGATGAATTTCATAGTTCCTTATTTTGGTTTCAGTCCTGCAATGAGGAGCATTCCTCACTAGGTGGCAGCAAATCATTTGAAATCATATACAGTTATGTATTTTTTCTTGCGATCTTTAGTTTCTTTTTCATTTCAGTAACTTTATTGTTTAATAGTTTGGTCAATGTTTGCTTTGGTTTTGAATAATCTATTTTATGATTTATCTTTTTATCCCCATCTCATGAATTATCCATACTTATTGTTGAAACATTTGAAACTATAGATAAGACAAAAAAGATAGTTACTACTAATACATTTATGTATATCCTTTCAGATTTTTGTATACATATAATAATATAAATAGCGCATATATTTTTAAAAGATTTTATTTATTTATTTGGCAGAGAGAGAGATAGCGAGAGAGGGAACACAAGCACGAAGCCTGCTTCTCCCTCTCTGGGGGAGGCAGGAAGCAGGCTTCCCGCCCAGCAGGGAGCCCCCAGGACCCTGGGATCATGACCTGAGCGGAAGGCAGACGCTTAACGACTGAGACACCCAGGCGCCCCAATAGCGCATATGTTTTTATAAAAATGAAATAATGTACCTAATAGTTTATAATCTTTTTTTTTTTTTCATTTAAAAATATATCCTGGGGGTGCCTGGGTGGCTCGGTTAAACCTCCCACTCTTGATCTCAACTCAGGTCTTGATCTCAGGGTCATGAATTCAAGTCCTGCCTTGGGCTCCACTCTGAGTGTGGAGCCTACTTAAAATAAAATAAAAATATATATATATCCTGAACTCCTTTTTAGGTCAGTAAAAATATATCCTGAACTCCTTTTCGGGTCAGTAAAAATATATATTTTTTTAAATTTTCCTCAACGCCATCATTTTTTTAAAAAATTTTGTTTATTTATTTGACAGAGAGAGACACAGCGAGAGAGGGAACACAAACAGGGGGAGAGGGAGAGGGAGAAGCAGGCTTCCCGCGGAGCAGGGAGCCTGATGTAGGGCTCGATCCCAGGACTGTGGGATCATGACCTGAGCCGAGGGCAGACGCTTAACCAACTGAGCCACCCAGGCACCCCTACACCATCATTTTTATCATGGATAATTTATGTATTAACAATTTGTTATTGAACATTTAGGTCGCTCCATTTTTTAATAGTAAAAAACCACACTTCATGGCATCTCCCAAAAGTCAGAAACCTAAGACTGGTTTTTCCAAACAACACACTAGTTATATTTTCAAATAATATGCTCAATATATTTTCTTTCAGCTTTTAGGTGAAATACCTCTAAGCAATGGATCCATTTGTTAGCCTGAAAAAAGTATAATAAAAAATAAATAAAAAAAGTATAATAAAAAAGAGTTTTCCCTGTGTTTACAGATTTTTTGGACAATCTTTAGTATATTTTTACAATCACTTGTTTTCTTCTATGTGTCTCCTTGAATAGGCATATATTTAGAATCTTAAAAATTGGAAAATAATTCAGAAGAAAAAAGTGTGCCTTTAGAACATATCATCTATAAAGTGATACATTTGCTCAGAACCACCATCAACCTTTTCCTTGTGGTTTTGGGCTTTGGTGTTATGTTTAAATAGGTCTCCTCACCCTAAAATTAGACAAGTAGTTATAGTTGCTTATAGTTTCATCTTTTTTAAAAATAAGAGCATTAAATCCAATTGGAATTTTGTATATCTGCTTATGATATGAGGTAGGGAATCTGATTTTGCCAAACTGACAAACTAGTTTGCCTAACATCATTCATTGAATAATCCAGTGATTCCTTAACTTGACTAGGACTCAATCAAATGAAAGTTTACCTTCAAAGATATCTTAAGTGACCCATTCAAGTATCCATTCACAAACGTTTCAACAAACATTTGTATTCCTTCACAAACTCATTGAACAAACTTGCATGGAACATATTGTGAGTTAACACTATCGGGCCCTGAGGGTACAGATAATAAAGACACAGTGTCTGCCTTCAAGGAACTCACAGACTAGTCCAGGAGAAGGGCAAAGGAACATGGTAAAACAATTTGGTGGATTGAGGTGACACTGGTACTTCCAATGTGCAGCTAAATAGAAGGGAGCTAAACAGCTGGGAGGGGAATGGTGGGAGGTGGGGCCAGTCAAGGAAGACTTTCTGAAGGCGGTGATCGGTGATCTCGGGCTTAGTAATACAAGGAGGATCTTCCAACCAAGAGGGAATGGCATATGCAAATGCACAGAGGCTTCTAGGAACTGCCCCTTGTTCTTCATGACTGGAGCCCCAGCAATGGGAGGATATATGAGTGTGAATGGCCAGTATCAAAAATAAGTCATCAAAGGCCACATGAAAGGGGAACTTTTTTATGCTAAGGATTTATTCAGAGCCAATATAATGAGCAACATGGAAAAGCAATCAATTATTACTTTATAACTGTGCTTCAAAAGAAGAGATAGAAACATGTCCCTCGCAATAACCGCATTATTAGAATAAGTTCTGAGAGAACAACTTGGAAAGAGGCAACACTCATTTGAATATACACTTTGGTATGTGTGTTAAGATCATTCACGTTACTTTGCCATACTTAATACATTAAAACAAAAGCACTTAGCCAAAATAGACTTGAAGATCTGTATCTGCTTCTCACCTACACTGCAACCTTGGATCAGAGAGGTAGGGTGAGAGATGATGAAGAAGACATTTCAGACAACACTAAGAGAATGCTTGTGTAAATTCAAATTTTAGAAGGTGAAATGTACATTAAAGAAAACTCTTGAATAATGCTGCACTCCCCACTGTATAATTTTATAGACAGATTGTTATTCTTGCTTATGAGCATATGAATTCAGTGATGTTTGGCAGCTTGCTCGTAATTTTTGAAAAAAATGTGAAGTATCCTTTTTACATGGGTTGAAGATGTCTTTGCTGGTTGAGCTTGAGGGTAAAACTGAATACAATTATATATTCATTTAATTATTCATAACTTGAGTCTGAAATGCATGTATATATATTTTTCACTTATTCACTTTATAAAATTCGAAACTAAACCCAGCAGCAGTTTTATCTTTGGCATGGTGACAAGTTTCTTTTCCACAATGAACCAGTAAAAGAAATTATTCCAGAGAGAATTTGTGCTTCCCTATTTCAGCAAATCAAATTGGATTGCACACATATATTACACATCACTGTTGCAAGATGCCTCCACATTTCACAGAGCACATAGAGGGAAGCAGCTGCACACATTTTTAAGAAATATTTCCACATGCAGAATTAGATTATGGCCATTCAAGAGGAAAACTAGGCTAATTTGCCAGAGAATTTTAGTCCACGGGACTTTAAGTATTCATCTCATTCAGGGAAATAGGTTATGGGTTGAAGTCATGTGAGAGCAAGAGCTCAGATCTGGAGTGCGCCATGTTTGTTGAAGATGAGAGAGGATGTGCATTTCATTCAACATAAGTTAGAAAAGTCTAGAGCTACCTTAGATTACTCATTAAAACTAATAGTGTGAACAGATCTTAGAGTCCATATTCAAGTCTTCTGTGAAGCTGTTTCTGCAATGTCATGAAAGAATTAACAAATATAAGTTTAAAAGTATCTGAGGGTAAACATTTTATCATATAAAAGAACAAAATTTGGCCATATCATAGCATCAATAAATTAGAGATCATGGCTGACATTTGGAAAGAAGATGGACAGAGATCCATCTACCCTGAATAGGGGTCATTACAAAAAAACACTCCCCTTCTTAATTAATGCTCTTGCAAAAGTACTGAGACATAGTATCCTCTGCTTGGTTTATTGCTAAAACAGAGATTAATTGTGAAGAGGGAAGTAGACTTCACTCTTCTTTCTCTCAGTATGACATCTATATTTAGAAACATACAAATAAGTGATAACCTCCAGTTAGAAAAAAGCAGTTTGACTGATTGACTGATGATGATGATGGT